AGCTGATGGACAAACCTTGTCATCAGCTCTGGCCACTTCTTTGTATCTCTTACTGTTGACAGGATATCTCTTCTGACCACCAGGTTTGGCCATGACCATCCTGTAGCCCTGCTTTCCAAAGAACTTGTCCAACCACTGCCCTGCCTGGGGATCACAGCTCAGTGCATGTCCGACCATGCCATCTTTCATACTACACAGGGACAATAAACTAACCAGGTTAGAATCAGTCCTACCACATATTTTCAACATAAACAATCAATGGGGCATTATGATCAGCTTGTACATTTTTATCAAGGAGGTTTAAAACTAGGTTGAATGCATTGGTGCATACATCTAGATTTTTCTTTATAAATGTTTTTATCATAAGCATGTTTTCTTGACGACATAATCAGTAAAGACGTTCATGTCCATCTCACCTGATCTCTAAGACTTCCCCCCTTAAGTCAGGTTTGGGTACAGTGCACGGGTCCATACCGGGTGCCTTCAGCCTGACCTGTCCGTCTCCCACACACTGTGGTGAGATCAGGACGATCCTGGGTTCAGTACGAGCCGTCACGAACCGCCCTGTCTCGTCTAGGATGATCAGGTCTCTGCAAAACAAAACAGCACACGTACTTGAGGTTAAAGGTCAAGACTCAAACAGGTGGCAAGCCGTGATAAGCGATACATGGCGGTGGATCGATATATGAACGTGAAACGATTCAAATGTAAAATGGCATTTCCCATTGTAACGTTAGATATAACCTGTCATGATGATGAGTTGATCGGAGTACTGGCCCTTGCATTGTCTGTAATTATACATAGGCTATATCCGTAAGTTTGATCGATAGAATAGATAAGGTGTGGATCGTCCATAATGCACAGACCACATCATGACTCCCAGCTGATTGTGTTTAACGTTACCACACACACCCCGTCCCTGGGCAGTCCTCACCTGTCCATGACTCCTCCTGACCAGACCCCGAGTTTGGTCACCTGGGCCTGCTGCACCTCCAGGCCCCGGCACGCCTTCACTGGGTGGACGTAGATTTTGGAGACATGGCCGACTGGGACGTAATCTCTGCGCGGTCTCCGCCACCTCAGGTAGACTAACCCGGCCGCCACCACCGCGGCTGTGGCCACAGCAGCCACAACAACTTGCCTAGACTGTAAGATAGTCTTCATGTCGTCCATCTTGGTCTGATGTGGTCTTGGATACGTTGCGGAACCAGAACAACAACAGAGCCGTGAGACCGGGGCGCCGGAGAAGGCGGGTAAAAAGCTATTGTTTGTTTGTGCAGTCCACCTGTCATGCGTAACACTCATGCGCTGCACCAAACACAGTGCATGTAGCAAACACGAAGTTATCAATTATTGAAGGATTTTTTATTCATAATCAAAGAACTTGGTTAACAGTCATGAAATGGTATTGCTGTGCCCAGTTGAGTAGCAGGTGAAATTTATTACATGTCTATTCCTCATTCAGTATTTTGTGATATAGTAGTATGCTCTAATTTTCAAGTGTTTACCGAGTATAACATGGAGCATATCTACAAGCAAAAGTTTCAACAAATCAAAGTATCTTCTTCACATTGTACGCACACTTTTCAGTGCACACATGACACGGTGAACGGTAGATACTCAACAAGGACTTCCAATAACTACCTGGGCGCTGCAATACGTGCTTTGATCACTAGATGTCGTCCTTCCATTAACAACCCAAATATTTTAAGTCACCTTTAGAGTAGAAATAAGCGCTTCTTACTACAGAAGCAAAACGTCCAACATTTCCATGGATATGCGAGATGTTTTAATATATTTCATGTAAACTGACTATTGCGTATATGTAACCACAGCTTATATATGTAGTTAATCTTCTTGTTGGATGTTTGACATCTGAACAAAATTGGAATGTTTGGAAAAAGAGGTCCAAATACTGCTGGTCACGATGACATTTACTCATGCAAATCTGAGTGCTGGCTGTGTCGCGCTGTACAACACTGTCAAATAAAATTAATGCTAACGGGGCGATATACTGTTCATCACATTATTCTTATCTGAAAAAAAACTTCAATGGTTTCATACAATCAATCTATAGACAACAATGTACTCTCAAATACGTCCTGAACACGTTTATTTCAAATTCTATCACACACTCAGATACCTGTACGTCATGAGGTAGTGTTTCTAATTCACTGGAAGCTGATACACATACATACATATTCGTCATTGCTGACTTGAGTGCAGAAGCTAACCTACCCCGTCACTTTGAAAAACAATGTACAATGACCGTGGATAATGATCAAAGGTCAATATCTAAAACAAATTAAGCGGCTCTGATAATTTTTATCACCTTGATATCAAAATCTGTGGAGTTGGCGAGTTGACATTTTGTTCGATCTGTTTACGTCTGACGTGTGCCTCCTCTTTACAAACAATAACACATTGTCATCATTGAATATGGTGACACATGATCATTCGCCCCAGTTTTTATGATAGTCAATATTGATAGCGTTGGTATGAAAAAAGCGAGAATTAGTTTCCATCATGGCGTTTCTGTGTCTATAATCAAATGCACTCAGTATATCCTAAATAGTCCAACAGACCGGCTTGAGTTTTTTCTTCATGGGGACGTGCATGCCATAGTTAATGTTCCACGGCTTGGGTTCCTTGGAGTGAAGTTTTGCTCGCAGTTTTTCCGTGTGCCGTGACAGGTACTCCTGGCGGCGGCCCAGGCGCTGCTCCCAGCTCAGGGACGGCCGTCTGATGGACGCGGCGATGGACAAGAACTGCAGCCTGCGCGTCTCATCGTCTTCGTCCTCCGCGTCCTCCATCTGTAAGGACGACGGTGGCGGACTTGCGTCATTTGGGTTACAGCCTCCCGGTGTATCATTGTCAGGGGACGGTTTTGTCTGTTCTCGCGGTGTTGTACACGGTAGTTCTGGAGTCTTTTCAGTATATCTGCGGCAAGCCGACTGCAGTTCAACGATCGGCACTGTTTTTGCACGAATGTGGACTTTGGTATGAAAATGTCCAACGGTCGTCATTTCTCTGTCTAGAAGTTTCCCGACTTTGTGCCCTTGTTTGTCCAAACGTGTTTTCTCGTCTGCCAAACGTCTCTCCTCGCACAGGTTCTGATTGCCGAGCCTGACAGCCCGTCTCTTGTCAGCTCGGACCGACAGACCGTCCTTTGTCTTCACCATGCTGACGAACAAGCCGTTTTTGAATGACTTATCAGACATTGCAGAAATTGCTTCTTTCTACCAGACACTCTTGCCAACTGTTTTGCACTGGACTCTGTCCCGATATAACGTCTGTTTAAAGGTCAAGCCCTTTTAATTCTCCCATAGGAAATCTTCTGAAGAGGGAGAATTCCCGAAGGGTGGATTAACCCGCCCACCTATCGCCTTTGTAAGGCCAGCAATTAGAGGCTGTTGAGTGAGCTAATGTGTTCTAAACTGACCTGTACAGAACAGCGCTAGCACAAACACAGGTCTGATGTACAGCAACGTTGGGATCAAGGTCTTGATATTCTGTCCAGTATCTGTCGTGCTCCACTAATATAAACGGTAACATCAGCATGCCATCGCATAACTCGCAGGTGTGGAACAAATCATTAACATCGGGAAGAAAACTGCAGTCAACAGGTCAAACTTCAGCCTTTGTCCATTCGTCCGAACTTTGCTAGCAAGCCAAACATCCCGATGACATGGCGCTGGAGTTGGGGGTTAACAAGGTTGGGGGTCCGTGTTGACGACATGCCAACCACCTGTCACGTTCTGTACCCTGGTTGCCAAGCAGGCGTTTCCAACATATCGTTACACAGGACAGAAAACTATAATCAGACCTCTTCCTGTCAATGTTCCTTGAAAGGCAGCGTATCCTCGGAGATAAGAATCCCTCGCGGTGATTTATGTGTGGTGAAAGAAAACGCACTGTTGGTATCTTCAGCCGGACGATGGATGTCTTGACAGACATGGGACATGACATGTGTATCTCACCCCGATCTCTGCCTGGGCGTTGACACTGTGTTCCCCCGGGTCATCATTATCTGGCAGGCCAGAGGTCCTGAGTGACGTCGGGATTTTACCTGCTCTTGATGTAGGAAGACAAATCAGAAACAGTCCATTAATCCTGCAACACACCTGCTGACTATGTTGTCTGTATACAGGTCGTTTCTGTCTCCAAAACACGACTATAGTGATATCAACAAGTTGAGCGGTAACCACATATTTCTGCCAAGTACTTCTACTTTGTGAACAGTTTTCTGAACATATAACCCAAACGACGGTCAAAAATAGTCTATTTGCATATGTCGGTCGATGTTCAGTCCCGCCTGGCAGCCCTTCCCGGTACTGGTTACAAATGTTCTCACCTGCCAGTCCTGAAGACGTATATAACTCGCTATGTTGTACAACTAACCGTACACAGTTCGCTGTAGGCCTATTAGGGCCATCCGTCACCACGGGAACAACTGGATCCTCCGTATCAACTGTTGTTGGTGGCTGTCGTCCTATTGTTCTACCTGTATCCTGTCCCACTTACGCGCCCAGGGTTGAAACCACATTCCACTACTGACGTGTCTGTTAATTGAGCTGTATTTATGCTGCCTGTCGACCGAGTGATAGAAAATGACCACACGTCAGTTCATCTTTCAGGTCAAACCATCTGCGACGGAAGTATGAATATAATGGAAGCCAAAGCGGTCGACAACACTGCGTAAAAGCTATTTACTTTGTAAACATGTTTAGACTACCATATCGTTGATCTATCGCTAGTTTACAGCTGCACGTTTGCCTGTATATTATCGAGCTTCAGAGAAAGTGTTAGTTATCTCAAGCACGACGTGATGCTGAACGCCAACAACTGAACAAACGAAGCTGCCAGGAACAAGCACCCTCGGTGGGGCTTTATAAACACTTTCCACAGTGTAGTGCGTTTCTGTTCTGTCTGCCATTGAAGGGGGCAAACAGTAGAGTCCATGGCTCTTCAGTTCGGGGAGGTAACGCGTGAGCTGAGCTGACATTAGGAGGTGTTTGCCAAAAGAGCACACGTCATAGTCATAGTGATGTACACATATACACATAAATATGTGTAGTGGACTTGAGTTGACCGTACTGCCGTATGATTGTAGTTATTCAGCCTCCCACCAAGGCGTGACGTCACAGCGAGCGGAAGCCTTTAGGGTGACGTCGTAGGGACTTGAGACACCTTGTCCCCATCCCACTGTGTTACTCGACTCTTACTTGGAGTCTTTTTCTCAAAATCACCCCCACCCCACCCAAAAAATGTGCCCCTACCGTCATAGTGTCGAGCTTTGGCGCCAGAAAATGTATAATCTACAATATATCTTGTTACTTGTCGTGCACGTTTATAGATTATGATGAAAATCTGTCGTCTGTCAACACTTCAATTGATGAACTTCTCACTCCTTCCACTAGAGGTCGCTTTACTCTCCAACGTACGGTAGATATTGTATTTGGATATTGTATTTGTTTTTAACTTCGTTTCCTAAAGTACGGTGCCGGCAATGTATTGAACAGTCTGCTAGTGCACCAGCAGAACAGTTTACGGGCAACAAGTACATCACAAGAAGACATCAATTTTAACTACATCGTGTGCCGTCGCGGCATCCTGACTCCCCAAAGGGAACATTCTCCGCCTCATTTAATACCTGATTCTCCACAGGCGAGAACAAACGCCGACGTACATATTTTGATAGTGTCTCATGTTCGATGCAATGTTTGTGCCAGCGTTGGTAGGAACCCGACACGCCGCCACTTTTTATACACATGCACCTGATCTGTTAGGCCTTGGTTCGTTCTGCTTTATTCTGTGCCATTGATATCAGCACTACATAATAGTCACAAGGGCTGCCAGGGAAGTGGCTAAAATAGTAAATAAAGAACTATGAAAGAAATCTGTGGCGGTAAACAAACGTGAACCTAGCAGCAAGGACAACACCTCAGACACGGCAGTCTTACCGCCGCGCAGCCAGGATGAACCAACTCACGGCCGAGTTCTCAGTGATCACTTGACAACGAGGCGAATTCGGTCACCAAGAATCACTTCAGAGTCAGACTCACTTCGACACAAAACAGTTCACGTACTGAAACGGTGAGAAACAACTTGTTTGTGGTTTAAGGGGCTTTGTTTTCAGTCTGTCTGAGGAATGTACATCAGGACTGACGGAATCTTTGTCCGGTGTGTTTGGCAGTAAGTTTTCTGACCACATATTCACGACCGTTGAAAAGATAACGTCACTGTAGAAGTTTTTGACTGAGAAAGGGAGTAACAATCACGTGCTCCTTCTTCAGCCATACACTAGACGTTACGCCATCGGTACTAGTGACCGTACTAGAATTACACCATCGGGAATCAAGGTTTCTAGAACTGAGAAGGTCTCCACGAACTGGTGTTTTAACCGAAATGCGTACTCAATTACCGGATAAAAACGATATACATTGAGTTTGGCCACTTACGTACGGTACATACTTACTAAATGTTGATTCTCTTGCCGTTTTCTAGCTTAAGACATGCGTTTAAGTTAAAGCTTTTTCGTGAACACGATGAACATATGTGTACTGTATCCTGAACTTATCGCGCTGTCCACTTTTGCAGCCTTGGTAGAAACGTTTAAAGATGGACAACGTTGAGAACACTGCCCCTGTGGCCACGGAGGACGTGGAGACAACCTTCAGGGTCAAGGTTCCCGCCGAGGGAGAGGAGGCGAAGCAGAGAAGGGTGGTCAGACAGTTTAACACTGAGAGAAGTGTGAAAATGAAACAACAATCGCTGGAGAAAAGTCACATGCAGTTGCGGATACGAGAACACGGCGTCAAGGCGCCCCCGGGTGCTCTGCCGTTTGCGTCAGCGGAGCAGGTCATGTCCCCGCTCATGGTGAGGAAGATGAAGAGCGATGACCAGGAGCCAGGCACGGTGGACACTGCCCAGTCTCATCCCCACCCCCCGGTAGGACCCAAGCTCACACTGTCTCTTCATGACATGCAGAGACGTCAGTCCCATGACAGGGTTTACCGTGTGACAGCTCTGGGTATACAGGCCGTCGCCACCAACCCCCCTCCAAACGACCAAACTTCTCCTGGGGTCCCACAGATCAACACGCCTGCGCCGCCGCCGGCAAAAGATATCAAACAAAACAGTGTAGACAGTGACCAGCCTTCCAAATCACCTAAGGTCCTCCCAGCTGCCCCTTACTTGAAGAAACAGCTACAAGAGAACCAATTTCTCAGCACACCCCCAACTGTCCGCAGGTACCCTCAACAGGTAAACGAGAAAAAGGCACAGACACGGACTACCAGCAAATCACTCGTATTACCTGCTAAAAACAAGAAGTTACAGCGTCCAGGCCTAGGTAGGGAAAAGTCACCTCGGCCTAGACTTTCTGTCACACAGTCATTGCCACTGAAATTACCTGAGGACCAAACGAAGGACGGTGAAGGTGTTGAAAGTTCTGTGGTACTTCTCTCACCGGGAACGCCGCCGGAGGAGATACCTGTTGGCGAGAACATGTCAACCGTCCCGTCCCTCCCGCCAATAAATATGCCGGTCCCAACAACAACTCCTGCCGAACAAACAGCAGATACCCAGCAAACCAGAGATGATGCGTCTGATGATGGGATTAGTGAAGATGTTATCGGCCAAGTTGCCAATGAAAATGTGCCAAACCAAGAAGAAGAAAAAGAGGATGGTAAGAGGGAGCCTGTCCTGGACCTGGCCACACGGGTGGAGAAATGGATCAACAAGCTGGCGTTTACGACTAAGTCTGCGTCATATGGAGACCTTCACGCGGGGAGGAAACTGGGAGCTCAAGGCCTGAACTCGGGTTTATCGAGAGGTCGTGCACTCACGATGCCGTCAGACGGCGCGGGCCCGCGTCTTGCCGAACACCGAACTTCCCGTCTGTCAGGTTCACAAGACGGCCAGACGTTCGTTGGTCTGACTCTGGGGAGCCTGACCGAGGGGCTGCTCTCACCGCAGAGCCCAAGGGACCCCTACCTCACCCCTACACAGCGGGCACGCTTTCAGTATGATGTCAGATCAGCTTCCTGTAGCAGCCTGGCCCCGTCCAGGGATCCGAGAGAGTCCATATACAGCGAAGGAGTGGCAGCTCCTCCTGAAGGTTCACTGGATGAAGATGCGCCGGTTGGACCCATCAGATCGCCGTACTTCCTCCATCCGTCTACCTGCTCCCATCTGAGACCCTGTAACGTAGTGGACAGGATAGAGGCCACCACCGGCAAGAAAGGCGTCCTGGCCTGGCTGGGACTCGGCACGGAGGACGTTCATCGGATCATGCGCAGAGCATCTCTTATAAGAGAAGAACAAGAGCGCATGCGCAAGTTTCCAGTTCTTAAGACCGTAGATGACACGACTTCGAACGAGACGTGAGGTTTCAATCTTCGCAAAATCTGAAGAGTCCGGGCACGGGAGAGAGCTGGACTTGCCAGGTGGAAAAATGCTCTAGAAAAGGTCTGTAAGAGTGGATTACATGCCCCTCCATTGCTTAGCCGGTATGTACACTTGTTACCTCCGGGGAAGGAGATATCCTTCCGCGAGGAGGTTTTACTATTGTTCGAAACATTTCTGTCAGCAGCTGTTTCTCGCGATCGGCTGGACGGATTTGTCTGTGGTTCGGTATGCGTATTGCTGTTGGGCTGCAGATGATGCAGAACGTTTTTGTTTAATTGTATATGTGTTTATGGGCGTGGAAATAAAAGGTTTTTAAGTGCTCCGGACACCCCCGCCATGCTGAAAATGTAATTTACCATGTTGTTAAGGAATGGGGAGGTTGCAGTTTTGGGTCTTACCATTTAAAAGGGGTCAAACAGAGGGGTGTCTGCTTCCGATATGTATTTTGATTCTGATCGACTGCAGGCGCCGGAAGGTGGTTGGCGATTCATGTTTAAATGGTAGACGCTAGGGCCTTTCTGGCGAAGTCTGTAGCAGTAAGTGACGATGATAGTTAACGTTATTTTAGATCGGTGATTTATGTAATACGCTAAAAATTCCGCCACGCCGCGGTCCACACTTCCGGGTTTAGTGACGACAAAATCACGTCGAAAACGCTAAAAATCCGCATAGAAGCATATATTTTCCCCATAGATTCTTGAAACTATGCATTTCTTCACTAGAATATTGATGTGTGGTTGTGGAAAATAGCATTTTAGCGCTTATATCGAACAAAGAAAAGTTGTTTACTAGCGTGTCGGCTCGCTCAAGTCTTACCGCCAGCAGCGCCGGCGGCGGACGCAACAACCAATCAGAGATGCGAAATGCCGACACGTGACGCGGGATTTGCATACAGGCGCGCGATGCACGAAATATTTTTGCGTCAATATTCAGCGCCGTGTTTCAAGAGATTAATACCGGGAAACAATTTTTTTCTTGTTTTTGAACGCATAAACATGGATTTAGGCTGATCTAGTATGATTCAGGGTTATTTTTTTTACCTGTCATGGCCAGATTATCTAAAGATGTGTGTACAATCTACAGAAATGTACATCAGGTCCGGTCATCCGGTTTTCACGTTTCGGTTTTTTGGACTCGGTTCTTGAATGTTGTTCAGGTCCAAACCGGTCCGACTGAACCGGTACCCACCCCTACCATAACAAACAACATATAGAAATATACAATAAAAAGCCCGGAGGTATAAAATCTCAGATTTTACTTGTTACAATTAATTTCAAATTTTTTACACCTTCTACATAAAAACAGACCGGACACGTGTTGAAGTTGTACAGACGACAAAGACTGGAGAGGTTAATGTACGGTAAAGAAGAAATAGTCGAAGTATTGCAGAATATCAATTTTCTGACTGTGTGGTATATAAAGTCACGCTTGTAACACCTGTACGGATCTTTCTTCTATTCTATAGAAATCCACGTCACTTTTAGCAGATCCGTGTCAGGATCAGGTGTAAGGGTCAGGACCCTTGTGTAAGGGAGTCGTCTAACGTTTCTGACGTTTCAGTGGCAGGAGCGCGACGCTGACAAAGTTACTGTTGCTATCTGAGAGAAAAATAGACTACGTTATCACGTACATTTCGCCTCCGGTCAGTCAACCGCTTATTGTTCTAGATTCACTAATCCCATGACATTGTTTTCTTCTCACCCAACCACTCTTGGTCACCGAAAACTACTGAAACTATTGTCTGAAAAATACGTCACTTGCTAAGTTAAGGAGGAGCGAAGACCATGACAGACACTTGCTGAATATGAGAAATTTGTGGAATGACTTGTGAGCTGGGTTTGTTGGGATGAAGTGCTATCCATGACTGAGTTAAGCCCCTGTCAAACATTCAAAACATGTATGTGAGTTGTATCTGAATGACAATAGGGAAATAAAGGACGACCGTCATTTCATTTGTTTGTTTCCTTGTGCTTGATTTCCCTTCCACCTCACTTGGTTACTACTTTAAATGTGGTGTTAGTTTTATCCAATTATATCAAGCTTCTCCCGAAATGATTATTGCGTCGAAAAGTAATGTTCTTAACTTCTTACCGATCAGGTCAAAAATAAAAACCAAGACATCCAGCAGAGCCGTCTTGCGGTATTTTACATATTTGCAACTATGATAACGAAACTTGCAAGCGCAAATGAAATGCCTTCACTAAAAGAATGAGGCGGTCGCTTTGCCATTAGCTCTGTCAAAGTCCGCTATGGTACCATATACTCGCTATAGTACCATATACTCAAGCCGAAGTAAAAATATACCCAATTGTTGCCGAACAATCCAACTTTTAATTTATAATGAGGATCGCAAAAAATGTTTTCAGTAGCGCTTCGTGTGCCGTCCTGACAGTTCGAAATGCATTGACAGTAGTAATCCGTGTCATTTGAATATTTATCCAGTCTGTTTAATACGTGTTCTATTCCCTCCGCTCCTATTGTTTGTAGCATCCATCCCGCTGACTCACGGTCTGTCTTGTCATGTCAGTAGTGTGGCTACGTGACATGCAGCACGGAGGCGTGTTGAACCGTTACGAGGAGTCAAGACTTGCCTCTAGGGCATTGGCGCCGCCTCCAAATTAACTTAGCGAGAACAAAAAAGGCGTATACTTTACCTGCCTGAATTATGGTAAACGAAATCTAGATTTCAACAGCGTGGTATTAAAAGTACAAAAGCTGAAAACTATTTTTGAACGTTCACATTGCACCGCCCAGAAATGTGCAGAGTCGTAAATCCGGTAACGAAGTTCAGGAGTAGAAAACGAGTCCCTAGCAAGATGAAGAACGTAAACGAGGTTAGACAAAATACAATGCCACACAATGCAGGGCGTTAAAATCATTACTTAGGAGCTTTTTCAAGACAATACCGTGGATTTCTTACTCTGATACACACAATTCCGGTACATGTATGTTCTGAAGTCATAGCAGTAGAACACACTAATCTGGCTCGCAGAACGTATCTATGTCGCGGGACGTTTCTGTCACTATCTCCACACTCTCGGGCTGCTTATAAAAAATGACATACTTAAGTCAACTCAAACATAAGCCGAGTCACGAAGGATGATGGTACAGAATATTGGGAGTGATATCTCTCCGCCGATTTTGATTTGTTGGTTGTTTCAGAGGTCTTTATATCGTTACAAAGAAATTTGATAGATTTTTTTCACAACATTAATTAATTCTCCTTGAACAAGCTTTATAGAAATAAACCCTGCTTTCCTTTGAAAGGTCAGCATACTGCCCATGTATTATCACAGACCGACTCTAACATCCCCGGCCATCGCGATGGAACATCCTACCTCCTACCTGGGTAAAGAAAAGCGCGGGAAGGCAGCTGGTCCGTCTGACGAGAAGACCCCATTCTGTCGTCCGTTACTAAGGTGAGATGTGCCGACCCTCAACAACTCGGATAGGCAACAGTTTCATGAAGATCGATATCTTCCGTCCTGACCCGCCGAGGTTTTCTTGCTTGTCATGGCAACATTTTGACATGACATGATGGCAGCATCATGCTGTCTGAGTGTAAATCTTGTCTAGACTCGTAAGTCAGTATTGCCGCGGTATGCTCTCAGCGAATAATCTTCCATTGCGAGTCAAGCAACTTGTATAGATGACGGGAGAAAAAGTTGTGTGTGGGGATTGTTATCTCTGTAATAGCATGAATAAGTACGAACACTGATAACCTTTCTCCTTGGAGTTCCGTCAACATTGACAGTATCCAAAGAATTCTTCCCATTCGCTGCACACCGATTATTAGAGGGCGGAGGACCTTGGAACGAAGGGACACACATTATGCGGATTTCCCTCAACAAAGGGTCCTCTGCGTTCAGTATTTTCTATGTCTAACTGTCAAAGTTCAAGAAACACCAATGGAGGGTTGCGACCAGGTGAATATTCTAGATTGCCGTGATTTGGCTGAGCGCCACAACGAGAGACAAGATCTGGGAAACTGAGGGCAGCTGGGTGAAAGGTGGAACACCATTAGGGAGACACTAACTCACAGAGAGGATTTGCTTTTCTTTGAAATTCCTGAGGTGTGAGGCTAATGGATAGAAGTAAGCGGATTTTGCAGGAGGTTCTGACAAGAAGATGCGTGTGGAAATACTCTCAGTCTGACGCCGACATTCTGGGAAGAATGTCATTACCTGTTGGATACCAGCCAAGTTGGTAATGCGACATTTCCCACACAAACCCATCTGGGTTCAGCAGGCCAAATTTCACCTGTAGACGAATATAGACATCTGTTAATAGGTGTGAGAACTGTAGTTACTACCTGTACGTTGTGTGCCATATCCTTATCCAGCATGGCCTTGGGCAGTCCTATCAAGGCTCAGTACCTCTTATGGTATTAAGTACAGTTTCCTTAGTTACGTCTTGCTCGTGCTGACTAAAAAAGAAGCTAACACGGCGGGTCGTTGGACGAAAGGACGTTGCACGGACGAGCGGTAACTTTGATGTTGTGATTGTTCATGGCCTTTGACATTTGTATGTTGAGAAGATCCACTAAAGTGACAGAATAAAGAAGTAGCAGACAAGAAGAATAGTCAGTTTGTTTGGGAAATCCAGCAGACCGTGTCTTTCGGCAAACAAGCAAAGCTTGCAAGAGCTTCACAGGAGAGAATATATACGCACGCTTGGCTGTTGTAAGAAGGCGTGACACGGTGATACAAAACGTGATCAGGTGAAAAACGTGGAGCGACAGACAGACGACACGCAATGTGTGGGTGCGAAAAGTGACGTGAATATCAGTTACCAAGGTGACGCTGCACAGACGACAGTTCCTACCTGTGAAAGAGAAGTTGTTACCTCGAGAAGCAGCTGCATGACGAGAACTAGGCTGTTAGACATGGAACGGCAAATTCCAATCCAGGAGGAACTTGCCAATATCCGCGCCATTAAGCCGGCCCTTGTGCGGCGGTCTGGTGGAATCGCCGGTAACGTACAGATGAAGAAATTTGAACGTGATATCAAGCTGCTGGACGAGCAGATAAGGCAGAGCGAGAAACATTTTTTCAGCGAACAAAAAGATCTTCTAACGCGCCTGGACCGTCTAAAGGCGGGACGGAATTCGATCGTCGACCAAAATGGACGGAAATTTTCGGCAAGTTCGTCCGAGCCGGGCATCCATCGAGGACACCTGGTACCAAGGCCTCCTAATCACGGGGGTCCTCTTCTGGACAGGCGAGCTCAGCTCATGCACAAAATCGACCAACAAACTGCACGGTTCCACAAAGAAGACAAAAAGGAGGAGACGGAGGCTTTTCGGAAGACCCCGGTAAGACTCAAGCCCCTTCCTGAGAACTACAAACCAAAGATAGGACAGAACAAGCCCGAGTCATGCGCCAAGGAACCAGCGGGCGGGGAGTCGGACAGGTCGAGCCAGGACTCCCGTCCCTCCCAGACCTGTTACACCGTGTGCACGGCTGGTTCCTCCTCCTACCACAGCGCCACTACTACAGTTGCTACATTGTCCGAGCCAGCTAAACGGACCAGGAAGATGTCATATGCAGGACTACCGTCCATGTACAACAACACGGGGCAGGCACAGTCAAAGTAAGGAATTGTCTTCAAATAGTATGTAAATAGACGTAAAATTTTCCCTTTGACCGTCTGTAACATCCTTGTCGATAATATCACCATGGTCCATAATATCGCCACCTTGAGAAATAGTGTGCTTTAAGATATCTTTAACTATGGGGGTTAACTTTCTCTATGAAGTGTCTGCTTTCTGGAAATGTCCTTTCTGAATGCAAGAATTTATTTGTATGTAATGTAATAGCAATACCACATAGGCCAATGTTTTGCAAGGATGGATTTTGTATGACACATCAACGACGTCCCAAGAATGCCCTCAATTTGTTGTTACCAACCTATCGTATGACAAATGTGACCAGGCCTTTAACAAGACCTAACAAGTGCAAACTTGCATTGAAAGATTTCTTCATACGGTAACGTTTTCTGTGGTTGGTGTGTAGGTCTTGGGACGAGGCCGTCGCCACCACGCCTGCCAAACCGCGGCCGCAGAGGCGGGTTTCTCTGCCATCAAGGCTCTCGGGCCTGGGGAAGACCTCTTCCGACCACCTGCCTCAAGCACCCGAGCACCTGCACAGCTGGCTGGGGTTACGTACACAAGCAACCCTGGACAGGATGAGGGGACAACCGAAGGACGAGATGGCGCTCTACCAGCCAAGGGGCAAGAAGAAGGGGTCATTTTAGTTGGAAGTTCACCGTTGTGTAAACTTAGAGGTGCGTTTACTACAGTATCAACACACCGTGGTATTAACAGAATGTCCAAAACGTCTGGCACATGTATACGCGGTATACTGTGCTGACTGTTGTCATCTCAACTGGTGTGGGATTGTGGTTTCTGTCTCCGCTAAAAAAATGAACTTCATCAGGGCATCAGACTTGGATAAAGCAACACATATCTGCTGAGAAATTACTGGGGATACCATCCAATCATTGGCCTGGGTGCCTCGTACGAGCCATTATGAGCTTTGTAAATTGTAGTTTGCTGACATTATAATAACACACATAACGTACATTATCCAGGATAATATGACTTGAGAAATAAGTGATTGACATCAAACGCAACCATGGGTTCTCATTGCAATGATTATCGATTCATTAAGCAGGACAGGACATCTAAAAAAGACGCAATGTCAGTATGTGCCTGTACAGGTTTATAAGGTTGCTATGGATGGCATGCGTGAAAATTCCACGAGCTTAGGCGGCATTTCTAATAACTTTTAACATTGTTTACCTTCCGTTCTCACCTGTCCCGCTGTTGTGTTGGGATCAACAACAAACACAACATGCGCACAAACCCGTGTACCGTGAAAACCCGGGTAAAGTACTGTGCTGTACATATGTTACGTTAGGATTTGCGACTATCGTGTAAAAACTGTGTAATCACTGCATTGAGACAGAAATACAAGACGCTTCTCGTGTAACAAACACACTATAGATGTGCACAAGATTTCTCTCAATGTTTCTGTTTAGTGTGTACAATTAGATCTATTTTGGATGAAGGGTTGAAGTTCCAGTTGAACTCTCAAAACTACGTCGCTATATAAGTATATAAGTATATTGTATTTGTTTATTGATTAAGTTCATCATTTCTTGTTATTCCTTTCATTCCATTTTGTGCTTACTTATGGTCTCGTATACATGTCTAGCGGCGGTGTCAAAATAAGTTTTATAAACTTTACTGCGCCACCACTATGTTTTTGTCTTTTAATTTAGTAACAAGAGTTCCACGATCTTATGCCTTCGCCAGGTGTTAACATTTACGATTGACGAAAAGTTTGACATTTATCATGCAAATAACATACCCATTCACATGAATTATATCAGTTGCAGTATGGATATTGTAGCATTTATTCATAAATTATGCAAATAAGATCCTGATTTGAATAAGTTATGTTAGTATGGAATTCCCATCCAAAGCTTCTTGAGTTATCGTGCTAAACCACGTACACACTGTAACACAAACACATACAAACAAACACGACCAAAAACATAACCTTATGGTAAAGGTAAAAAAAGATATGCACTGCGTGAAGTTATCTTACAACTCTCACTGGTAGACTGAGCAAGTGGTTCACATGCACAACATTGCTACAACTCGAACAGATTTTTTTCTCAGCACTCAAGACAAATAAACCGTTATCCATGGCTTATCAACCAGACCAACTCCTTAGAGAACAGACATCCGACATAAACATGCTCTGGGCAGACAATGGCAAGTTTGGTCACCTCAGGTGATCTCTAGCCTATGGAGCCGCTGGACCAGCACTTATCTCCTCAGTAAGGGATTATGGCACAAAAGTCATGGACAAAGGTGCATCTTCTTCAAATAACCACCCGCTTCACAGGCTGACAGGTACACACTGGGCCCTTTGTGCATGGGGGATTTGGACAAAACTTTCTCACGGATACAAAAAAGTACATGTACCATATTTGGTCATCACTACTTGCTGTTTCCATGAAGTAAGGAGTATCAGACCTCAGTATGATGTTGTGGACAGAGTAATATATGCAGTGGGGTTAGGTCTGTCCTTAGGGAAATGTTTGTGTGTCGCACAGTACACTTGCAAAAGTACAGGAATTCATCAGTCAAGCTTGTGCAACCTTATCACTCCTTTGCAATTGCATAGACCATTTCCTACACTGAGTTGACATATCTAAGGACATCTTAACAAACTCCCCGCATCCTGGGATCAACCCCAAACATAGCCTCAACCCCCAGCTGAGGTACTTACTGTCATTACTTATGTCTTCGTAAGATTCTAACAATGAACTTTGTCAACCAAAACCAAAGTACAAAACCTTAACCCGCATGCGATCATCTTTGACCAATCACAGTGCTTGATGTGTCTAATGACTTCCTAAAAATGCAGTCGAGGCATCAGACGTCAGGTGACCATCTACATGTTGAAGACAAGTTCAAATGTGCCTTGGAGAGCGCTGTCAGGATTTCCTGTCACATCAGAAGCTTTGTTGTGTCACCACCATTGTTTATACTCAGACCTTACCAGGTGCAAAGACATTGTCTCTACATGCTACAGCATACAATGATACCAGCAATAACAGAATAGGTCCCCACTGGAGTTTACAGATGTCATGTTAAAATTACGTCTGACTATATATAGTTCTTGAATTGTTTCCTGAATGCTAATGAAGCCTTCTCTTTATGGACATGAACTTTGCTAACACAAAGCATTAGAAATGTACAGTAAAAAAACTTTAAGAAATAACTCACGAACCCGTTGGCATTAAAGATCATAAATTGGTTCATACAATACATACGTCAAGCAGGTGGAAAGTTAATGTATGATGAATAGAAATGGTACTGTGGCTTAGGAAGGAGGAGGGAGGAGGATATGGCATTGAAAAAGAGATTTGATGGTCACTATGTGGAAGCATGGGTGATGCAACATAAATGTTACATTACATTACACACTACTATTAGGCTAATATCAATATCAGGAAAATACAATACATTCTTTGTTATTTTAATGATTGATATTGTAATGTGTGCAATGTCGGTGAAAATTTGACATACTTCATGTGGTGAGCCAGTCAATTTTAAATGAAACTGATACAGTTGATACAAACCAGACATTATCTTCAATCCACTCTGCACTGGAGAGCGGTTCTTTACTTTCACATGAAACTGACTGTGAAACAGATGACTCAGACCCAGGACAGTGGGTCACCTTACAGAAAGTTGAGAAAAGGAGTTAAAACTAGCAAACTATGCATGCATAAAAACATATGTCATAAACAGTACAAACCGCACATCTTATAAATTCATAAATCATCTAGAACTGCCATCTAGCCTCCTAGATTTCAGGGTGGCTTTGCTATCTTATGAGCCCCATTTTCTGAAAGCCATTGCAAATAATGCCTGCTAGGTAATTCCTAGGGGGCTAAAATTTGCATTGGGGACTGCTCTGTGCAATAGTTGTATATATACAGTTTATGTATCACTAGTATTGAACATGTGACAGAATACGTGTGTGTGACTTGACATTATCACATGTCAAAGCATAAAGAGTCTCTCTACGTAACCCACACTTTGATACACGTGTCACTTAATTTAGAAAACATACATCTTGTGCAGTGCACTAATAGACTACTTTACAGCAGTGCTTTGTAAAGGCATGACCTGCCCACTGCCTAGCTCTCCTGTAGCAGACTGTGATCCTCTTGCAATGCCTTGTGGTGAGAACTTTGACTCCCTTCACAAGCTATACAGTGCTTCAGTTTCCCCAGATTCGGTCTGCTGTACTCCTGCACATGAGAAAATGGCAATGGGACTATCAACATCTTCCTACACAACTTACTGTTAGAATAGCTGCAATATTCTAAAGACTGACAGATGGCCCTATTCCTAGGTCGTCTGCAGGTAATTTCTGCAGTTTTTCATTATTTTGCTAGATGTCCCTGCTACAATTTGCAATGGGTAAAATTTTCATTATTGAAACATCAAAGGTTCAAAGAAGCTCAAATTCAGTCATGTGAAAACTCAATATCAACTGTATCATTTGTTACTGACTGTCCGCTACCAGCCAAAATGTCTGTATACATGTATGTCACTTGTGGATAGCACTGTACACTTGGAACAGGTTGAACTAGCAATGGGTTATTGATTTCTAAAAGCAGGTCTTCAAGAAATATGCAAAGGAAGACTGAAGCCTACCTGTGATTGCTCCTCCTTTTGTATTGGGGAAGTGAGATCAATGATGGGGATGAGGGAGGGTCGACCGTGGGCACACTGGAAGGGCAGGTTACATCTAGACAGGCACCTGATCAGGTCAGCACAGTCAGCCTCCTCCAGGGGATCACCAAACTTTATTGCACCTGATTAGAAAACAAAAACAGGAAACCAACTTGTGCAAAACTAACTTATGCAAATCATATTCCAGCTGAAGAGCCTGTGGTGAATGTGAAGGAAATTGGATTTCTGCCAGCTTTTGCGCAGTGTTTACTTAGTTCTTTTGAATAAATTTCATTTGCTGTGGGTATGTGTGTCTGTTGCCTGCGAAAATTTGGTAGGTGAAGGTAAGAAGGTGAATGGGTGCAAGAAACCCAATACTTTAATCCATTATAGTCAAAATGTTGACATTCATGAAGACAAACTGCATGGCCCTGCATGACCAATGACACAGGGTGCAGTCCAATACAATATTGTTGCCTGATTTAGGACATGGCCATAGATACCCTGATATATAGCTGTTATCAGGTACACTTCTATTGGTACTAAGATGAATTTTGGATGGTGCAATTAGTATGTTTTAATGCACACATTAATTATTGCAGCTACTGTAGACTTTCCTCACATTTAGAACAGAACTCACCATGGCAGGCCTGTGAGTTGAGGATCCTGTGGAGGGTATGGGGCAGTGTGGCACCTGCACCATCTGTAGTCTTCAACAACTAGATACAAACACATCACATCACATCACACAGGTCATTTGCTATTGTTTCACTAATTGTCAAAATAAATGACTCACTTATACATTGTACAATAGTTGAAGGATTACATAAATTTTTCATGTTATTTTCAAATCTAATTAACACAGGAGTGTATATTGAATAACAAACCATGGATGAACAGATGGGTTTAAAGACTGATTGACATGGCAACCAGAGGAGGTCTATAAAAAGTTGCAATTGTAGTTGATGGAGTTTGTTTTTTATCTACTATGTGATAAGCCCATCCTGTCATATCAATGACCAAATCTTCCATCACAGTGAATTGGCAGGTGGCAGTGCCTGGTATAATGGAGTCTATCTTATCTTATCTAAGGTCTGGCTCCATCAGAATGACCTTTTATCATGCAAATCTGACACCCTGTTGAAGGGCACAAACCAATATCAAGTCATTCATCAGTCATATACGGGATACTTTGAGGGCTAACATCAGCATAGGAGATTAAACAGACCACTGCTATTGCTACATAACAAACAAGGTATTGAGAGATGCCGAGGTGAAGAGGCACTTTGACTGGTGTTCCGTGTGATCAGGTTTGTTTGTTGGATATGTCAGGAGCCACAGAAAATAGTACTGGCAACAGCTTGTCAGACTTGATATGTTAAAAAACAAACAAAGGAAATCAAACCCTACCTCAAGTTTCTCCTTTATCAGGCTCTGTGGTGGAAGAGAGAGACACAGATCCTTAAAGATTCAACCATTTACTTACACTAGTGCATGTTTTCTAAATTCATTTCAAGTACTAGTACTTCTGAGCGACTGATCATAGTCAATAAGTAAACTGGACAGCTTTAAACAATGACAACATGAAAATGTTACAGATGTGAAAACACCCAGAGAAGGTAATGTCTATGGTGATCAAAATCATAATTGTGAGTAAAATACAAACTTAGTATGGTACATTATAGCAATGATAACAGATGTACAGTATTTTGTAGGTCTGATGCATGTGTGCAAGACCTACATGTACTGTATGGAATGCACATCATTGACTCAAATACATGGACATCAAGGTCTCAAATAGATACACCTGAGAAAACTTCTCACCTCCACCAGCTCCACAGCTACTGCAAGTCTGCCTCTCTTCCTTTCATTGTACTCCCTCTCCACAACACAGCATGGCAGGCTACTCACTATGGCCGTGTTCATCTTGTTGTCATCAGTGCTGAAGTTCAGGCCAAGCCTCTGAAAGGCTGGCTTGTAGGCCTGAAGGAGACGGAGCTCCTCTGCAGGAAGGGGGACCTCCAGAGGGGGGATGACATGGGAGGACTTCAGGTGCTGGTGTGGGCTACCAGGGTCAACTTCATACAGGTCTGATGGCAGATGTGGTTTTAGATTATTAATAACTTAAAAGGATGGAGATTTACATGAAAGAGTACATAACAGAATGGAAGAGAACAAATGGAATGATGATGATTAGATATGGCTCTTACTAGGATTTTTATATTCAGACAATTGGTGCTTGATACATACACCACTAATTTGTGCTGTGTGCAGCAAAGATTGTTACATTTTCTACAGCATGAAAACAATATACTTAAGGATATCCTGACCTTCATGAAGCTTCTCCAGTCGAACCCTCTCATGAGCTGCATGCTGGTCAATCAGTACCAACAGGTTTGGAGCCGAGGTGATTGTGAAGTTGTGGGAACTGTTCTTCATCATGCAGGCAATGAACTTATTATCCACCTGGCCAATAATCTACGTTAGGAAAAACAGGTCATGAACTAAAGTTTGACTTCAACTAAAGCAATTTTATGTAAAGAATGACATTCCACAATTGCAACCATTTCTGACCATCAGTATTGTTGTAAATTACATACAATGTAGTTACAATTGCACATGTCAATATACAAAATCAAAGTACTGCAGGAATAAACAACATACACTGTCTGTGCTAAGGACATGGAAGGGGTATTGGTTTAACTCTTGTTGAAGAATAACCCCCTGTTCTGCACAGCACATCACAGTTATTGCTTTATCTCTAACCTGAATACTGTCGAGCATCTCCCTGCTGAACCTGTATGGCTGGATGACTGTGCGGACTCTGGCTGTGCCTCCTGTCCCTGCAGCTACATTCAGGATGCTCTGATAGTGGGCAAGCGGGAAAATTTATTACAGTTTTGTAGCTGTAATCATATATGTACTTATATTGTGGAAATGTGAACCTTGAAATTTCAGAAAGAAATAGGATCGAGAGTTGGAAAACTCAGACTGATATAAAGGAGTACTGACCTTCTCTGTCCTGGAGAAGACTGGGTTCTCCCAACTGTCCCACAGCTGGGCTACACTCTCCTCATTATCACTCTCATCTGGGGAAATGATGAGGATCTTTGTGAATGATTTTATAAGGTTGGTGAATGATTGAATAGAAAGGTTCTTCATTCATAACAAGTGGTTGTTAAACAATTGGTTGTGAATTAAGAACTTGGTATTCTATGAGGATCTTTGTTTTTCTGGTCAAAACAAATAAGAACGTAATATACGCTACATGTCAAAAATGTGATTAAGGTAAGTAAGCAGCAGGAAATGTTCAGTAGTTTATGGAAACACACCTGCTTCATTTGGCACTCTGTCCCTCCACTTGACCCCTGACCTCTCCTCCTGCTCTTCCTGATGAGCAGCCAACATCTGGCCCAGAGCATGCTGGGTACTGGAAGTAGAGAGCTTGTCTGTATCATGACAGGGTCTCTTGGCACGAGGCAGGAATGGGGTGGCATTGTGGGTCAAGAATGGGTGTACAGTGCCTTTCCATTTCTTCTCTCCTGTAATTTAAAAAAAAGGCATTGATTTCATTGTCTGTCCACATGTACAGTATATGGAAAGTAGATAACAATATCTTGAATAAGAGGATGTTCTGAATGAAAACCATGTAGTTATTCACACAGGGAAAATATCGTTATCATTACTAATAAACAAGGTACTGCAAATTCATATTAAGCCAGCTATACAAATGCAAGACTCAAGAAAATAGTGTGACCCACCTCCAGCTGACATGGATACATTCACACTGCTGCTGGTTCCTACGTCCACTCTGTCATCCTCTGGGCAGTCCAGCTGGGTGTGTCCAGTCATCAGGTTCACATATACCTCCACCCCACATGTCTGGTCAAACTGTCGTGCCCACACAGCATTGACCTTCCTAAAGCCATCACTCAATGCTGAGCGACGATGTTCAAGACTACATTGCTTAGTTGTGTTTGTCAACTCTCTGTCTGTTACTTTTATTTTGCATAGCTCTTCCTGTGCTTCATGCGATTCAACCACTTTTTGGCCACTTCCAACAGACATCTCACAGCTTCTCTCTTTTTCCTGTACAGTACAGTCTTTTTCTACAGCACCAGTTTTAGCTTTCATGTCAGCCATGTTTTCCAATCCATCCGACCTACAGTCCTCCATGCTGTCATGTCTGACCATGTCTGCTTTACTGTGGCATCCAGCAGGTGATGTAGCTGTGATGACATTAGGGGATGATGTGCTCAGCTGTCTTGATGTTACAGCCCTTGTTGGTATTACTGGTTTTGGAGTCCTACTTATCTGGGCACATTGGCTGTCTTCACACAACTCCCTGTTGTGTAAGCTATTTCCAGTATATTCGTTTGGTACATCCTCAGAACCATGCTCAGCTGGCTGGCACGTCAAGTCGATGGACTCATGACTCCCCGGAACAATCTGTTCAAGTCCCTGTTCCCAGTTTGCACTGTTGTTGCCATGAGTGTCTTTAAGCTTTCCAATGAGTTCACAGTTCCTGACCTTCTCAGCTGCACACAAGCCAGTACTATCCAGTTCCATCTCTCCACAGTCTTCTCTGTTGACCTCCTGCTGGTTGCAGACAGAGTGAAGGGATTCTGTACTTCCTTGATGGACAGTAGATTCATGTTCATATTTTTGAAAGTTACTCCTAGTATGGCATTCATTTCTAACAGTCTCTTCACTAGTGCTGCTAAAACGGCAGAGTTCTCTCATTTCTCCCAAGAACCTAGCTGGATTTATGGGCTGGCTGTCAATCTCATGGAAGTTGCTACTGGCACACAGGAGTTCCCTAGTATCTTCAGCATCTTCCTGAAATGTTTTGCTGGGAATGATAGCTGCCATACTGACATTCTTGAATGTGGACTTTGGAGAGAAGACAAATTTGTCTGTTTCATCTGAGGATGGGGATCTCGACTGAAGCGCTAAATCTTTGTCATGGGAAGAAACAGTCCTAGCAAGACTGTTCTCCATTCCCTGTTCTGAAGCAGCATGTATCAAATCTGAAGTTTCATATGCAAGATCTTTGGTAGCAGTTTTCAGCTTCTCTTTCACATCTACACTTATATCAGGATAATACAGCATGGAGGAATCTGTGTCTTCAACTTGATTTGGTACTTCATGCCTCCAGCCATGGGACTCATAGGTTACTTCATTGATCCCTTGCCATTCCATTGGTGATATATGTGCACTTTCTGTACGACTAGTGGGACATTGGACCTTTCTCTGTTCTGTTTGTCCAGCAAAGAGAAGCAATGCAGATCCAGCTTTAGAACCCTCTTGTGCTTTTGCAGCATCAGACTGGTGTGCTTTCTGAAGCAGAATTTTACTTGGTGTTTGCAACAAATTCTCAAATGTCACAAATTTTCTCTTCATCTTTGCTTGGTTATCAACCCTATAGGGTACTGAGCACTTGTCTCCTGATATGTGTATGTAGTTATTTGTAAGGTTCCTCGTCCTTTTTTCACTACTTTCATTGTTCACAGCAGATTCAGTGGTGATCTGTTTATGAACCCTGGGATCATTCACATTGTCAATTGTCACATTTTTCCCGTGTGGTGTCTTGAAAATTGATTGTTTGGGCTTTTGCTCAGTTTTGCCTTCCTTTTTTGTTACATCTCTCTGAATGTCCGATGAGAGATTTTGCTCTTTGCTCTGGTGCCTTGCTGAAAAATGCTTTTGAAGAGTAGCATCACCACTGTACAGTCTCACCCTCTTGGAAAGCTTCTGCAAGGATAATTCTGAGTAGGACCTTTTCAGGGAGATTGCAGGGGTAAACTTACAGCTACTTTTGTTGAGGCACATGCTGGGACTGGCAGTGCCAAGGCATGCCCTTCTTGGGGTTGATGTAACAGCACTACTGCTAGAGTGACACGGACTCTCATCTTTCATCATTGACACTGGACTTCTCCTTGCATCTTTACATTTGCCTTTTGATGTACTACTTCTGAAGGACTTACCACTGTCTCTTGGGTATAGCTCTGTTCTAACCAGCTCTGCTTGTGAAGTTTTGAACAACCCAAGGGAACTTGTTGATTGCACTCTATCTAAGGCAATTAGACCACAACTTTCATCATTCTTTCCAATCCTGGTGTACTCATTTGTACTGTCCTTAGCCTTGTCCTCAAGTCTTACATGATGCTTTTGTTGGGGTCTGGCATCTACCTGAGGTAGGTCTTCCGGTAAAGTATTGTTTCTCACATCAATAGAAGATGGTCTAACAACATGCTTTTCACCATCATCAGTGGAGATATTAGCCATCTTTGACAGCTTAGATGATAAGGACAGTTGTTTCTTTCCACTCAAGGTGATCTTTGAACTTTTGGAAGCCTTGGAAAATTTTGTCAAACAAGACTTCTCTGTTGCTCTACCATCATCATACAGCTCTACACCTGAGTCATTAAGTTCACTGGAAACAGTTCTGGTTTCCTTGAAATCTGGAGGGGAACGGGTTACTTTGATAGATGTAAAAAGTTGTTTTGGTGGTGAATTACTGACTTCATTTGAGTTACAGTGAACATTCTCTTCCTCTAGTCTGTCATCAGCATGTCCCAACTTTGATTCATTGCTGTCTGCTAATGTTTGACACTGATGGCTAGACAAGTCTGGAACAGGTGCAGAAGTAACTGTCGATGATTCCACATCAGAACTCACTACAAGTGACTGTATGTCATTTTCCTTAAGGAAAGAGTCATTCAGGCTGTTTGTGGTAAACAACTGTTCATTGCCGTAGCCTTGAGAGACCGCGGGACCATAGTCAAATGTGTCATCCATAGTGTCATCCATACCACTTTGTTCTTCAGATGTAAGTTCTGCTCCCTTGCTTTCTGCTTTGGCACTGGTGTGACTTGCATGTGATTCAAGGTCAATGTGGACAGGTACTGCCTTGTCTTCTCTTGGCATTTGATACTTATCTTCTTGACATATGTCATCCATGTAAACTGATGTGCACAAATGATGAGATTCCTCTGCTGATGCCTTACATGTGCCATCCTCAGGCTCAGACCTAGCATTATCTGCATGTCCTTGCCCTTCTGTGTCACCGCTGTTGGCAAGTTTTGTATGTGATAATCGATTGACAGTCTTAGAGTGGAGTATGGCATTACTGTTGAGAGTGCTGATGCCTTCTCCGTAGTCCACACCACTGTTATTTGTCACTGTCTGTAGGTCCACACCTGCTGTTCCTGCCCTACCTGGGCTGGATTTACTGATGGTGATTTTCTCATCTTGCAGCAGACTACTCATGTGTTCTCCTACATTTGGGTCTAGACTCATGGTCAGGTTTTCCTGCTTCAAAAACTTCTGCACCATGTCTTGCACACAGGTCAGCAGTGTCTCCCACTCCTTGAATTCAACAAGAGTCTTGGAAGGGTCCAGCGATATGTCATACTCCGACAATGGGCAGGAGATGTTCAGTACAAACATCCCATAATAATCTCTTTGCTTCCCTGGACTTGAGGCATCAGCAGCACTGCTATCTCTGACTGTAGGTGTCCGTGGTTCCCACTGGCCTGCCCGTCTGTTTACCACTGTTGACTTGGACAACAGAAGGTTTAGAAACTTGTGCACTTTAGTCCTCAGGATCAGCCTGCTATTGATGTAGAGAAACTGCAGGTCCTTGTTTCTGTGCCCCTCTCTGCTAATGAAGCCAGAGATTTTAAACTGTTTGTGTTGGTGAGAAGCCTCCCTCAGAGACATGGATTTTTTATTTCCAAACAAGGAACCAAAGCATGCAACCAGTGAGCTGGTCTTGTGTGTCTGGAGGTACTTGCCACCTACATTTTCATTCCGCAGTGTAAACGACACACCAGGATGGATCAAGGCTATGGCAGCCACTCGTTCTCTGATTCGCTCCCACTCCAAAGATGCAGAGACAAACTTCTGTCTGACTGGAAGGTTGTGGAACACATTGTGAACAGTGACAGTTGTCCCATTGGTGGGCCTATGGTTCTTGGACTCAAAGACACTAACAACCTTGCCATGGCGGAAAACCTTGGTGTTGACCTTGGTGCTGACCTTATGTCGTGACTCAATCTCCAATACAGCACAAACCTGGGCTATACTGGCCAGTGCTTCTCCCCTGAACCCAAAGAAGTTCAGATTCTCTAGATCAGTGACTGTGTGGCACTTGCTGGTAGCATATCTGTCTCCAACTATAGTCAGCTGGTCTTTGGGGATCCCGTGCCCATTGTCAACAACCTGGGTGAGGTGGAAATATTTTTTTCACAACAGCTGTCAGACATATCAACATGAAAATGAACACAATTATAAAGGCTTTTTAATCTATAAACACGATTTACAGGAGCACAATACTGAGTATAATTTACGATCCCTTGTGAAATAGTAGCTATGATATCCCCATATATCTGTGTGAAAGGCACACCTGTATCCAAAAGTTCTCCAGGTCGATCCGAACAGCAATACATGTTGATGCCGCATCCAAACTGTTTAGAACCAATTCCTCCACGCACTGCGCTACAGAAGGCACCGACACCCCGGAACGGAGCTGAGCTCGAACTGATGGGTCTAACGGTCGAATCATCTATCGAAAAGGCTTTGATCGTTTTGTGGCGCTAAGACACAGATGTGGCGTCATTGTTGGGGCGTTTAAAATTCAAAGAATCAGACGAAAAAGACTGGAATTCGAAAATTGCGCCCTCCCCACGACAATCGTCCGCCATGTTTCCTTCCCAGCATGCTTCCCTCATTCGAACTTTGACATGTTTATAACATCACCAAGGAGCTGAAAAAACATAATCGTTGACTTAAATATCAATGCGCACTTTATTCAAAAAGCAATGTTTTTAAAGCAAACTATAATTTCAAAATACTGATTTATTACAAAATCTAATCTGCTATACATAATTCCGTTTTATGCGTGTGCTGTACAAGTAGACACAGTAATTTGTTGGCTTATTTTCCGCTTGCGGATGAACACTGGCAGCTGTGTCAACAGGCACCGGCTTACAATAACAACCGTAAATTGAGCAGGATTGGGCTGACCGTGATGCTTATTTGTCAATCGGTTTCCCAAGAAAAAGCTGTTTCTACGTCATCCACGAGGACAGAAACAAGGTGTCTACAAAGGTGAGTCTAAGCTTGCTAACTGGTATGTTTGGTAGCTTCTGTCCTTGCTTCTGTTGGCACACAGTGTGGCAACAGCTTGCGGTCCTTTCATGCACAACAGTCTCCATCACAATCAGACACGACTTGTCCCGTTACCGTGTTGAAGTAACGTTATAGTAGAACAACAAGACGTACTTGAGTTTTTTCTGTGGAACATGTTTTGCTATTTGGTGTTTGAGGCCCTCTGTGAAATATCCCATGCAAGACAGAAGCATACAGAGCCAGTTATTTCCCTCGAACCGTCATCGAGTGGAACACACTACCAGGTACACTTATATCTTGCACATCCCTTGATGCGTTTAAGGCGGGATTGGCCAGTCACCTTGGCCTCTCCGCCAATACCCAGCTGTAGGGTTATTTTTGTTTTCTGGTGTGGCTTTTGTATATAGTTGCACATTTCGGTTTCTTCTTTTTGCAATTTATTATTTATAGATCATTTTTCATTTGTTTGTATATTTTTGTTGCGCACCACCACCTGCCACACCAGCTGCACCTCCTTCCCGGGACGTGATGTGCCGTGAGGCACTTTGTCCCGTATCATGTAGATGTAGATGTAGAAGAAGCAGAACAAATCTTACTTTGATCCAGAATATTTTTCCTTTGAGTCTACTAACGTATGCGAACCGTGCTAGTTTCCAAGTACACTGCATTGTGACGTTTCATTGTGTCCCGACTAGACAGGGCTCCTTGACCTAGGGTCAGAAAGGACATGGTACCCAGGCCACGCAGGTGTAATTTCAGCAGTGAAATGTTTCAACGGCAAGCCTCAAGGTCTTTTTGTTCTTCTTGTTGAACTCATGGAGCAGTCTTTATTGGGTATACACATGTAGTAAAAGTAAAGCTTGATGGCCCTGACAAATGTGGGGTGCGTGATGATAGAACTCATCACTGTATCCCGTCTATCAAACGGTCCCCAGGGATTTCTGGACCAATCCTCTGGGACGTCTCAAACACACGCAATTTTTTTATATACATGGATTACCTTAGAAACCTGGATAAAAGCAGACTGTTTGATTGTATTGATGTGACAAGGATCTTTCATAAAGGTTGGCACGGTATGTTGGTTTGCCGTAGTTGATGACTTTCACATATCTGTGTCCATCTACCTGATTGCAAGAATTGCTGTTTCAGATTTTTTGCACCATTTTCAGAAGAGCCTTGGTGACTTTCTGTATTGGTGATGATACAGCTGCTTTGTTATTTTAGTGTGTTTGTAGAGGGAATGGGCCAGTTGGCACTTACCAGGGGGCATCACACATGTACAAAAGATGATAGCAAAGAAGTGCAGTAATTGAAGTTGTAGTAGTAATCAATGTGTATTGTTTTCTAATGACTAAGTGCTAAAACTGTAAGGATTCCATCTTTGTGTTAAAAGGAGCTCAAGGATGTTTTTCTACCTTCTGCAGGTGATAGATACCACCAAACTCCCGGACTTGTCAGATAATGACCACAGCATTCCCCTACCCTCCTCGACACGTGGTACACACGTCCAGAGTCCCAGCATCACGGATTCCTGCACCAGCAGACAACATGAAGAAACAGGATGCACAGCAGAGGTTGGTGGGGAACACGCGCTCACGGCTGGAGGTCCTACAGCAGCAGTATCAGCAGAAACTGCTCAGGGAACGGGAGGCTAAAATGATCGAAATTTACGAGAAGAATCAGCAGGCAGCCCTCCAGAAGGTTAATCGCCAAACAAGCTTGAGAGACTTCTTCAAAGAAAGAAGAAGCCTGGAGGCTACAAAAGGGGGAGCTGTGCCTAGCATCCAGCATCATTATAAGAACAAAGTGAAACAACAGAACCAGTTTGCCTACAAGAGTAAGCAACCAGTCTGGAACCCTACACGCACACGTAGGGGACCTGAGGCAGAACGGAAACCTTGGTCTGGCATTAACAGGGGGAATCCTCTGCAGCCTATCCAGAGGCAGGCAATATCAGCAGACGACCGCTACCGGCAGCCAGATCCTGATGGACACTATGAAACAAGTGATGACTTGACCAGTAACCACAGCAGCAACCCTCCAAGTGATCTGGAGGACGAGGATGTTGAATTCAAATTTGTCCCAAAGCCTCCAGTTCAGCAGAGACCTGGTAAGGTACGACAGACCCGACGAGCAGTGAAACAGGACAGCTCCAGAAAAGATGTGAAGCAGTTTAGTCCAGAAGACGATGGTTACTACAGCAATCAGCAGGAAGACAGTGGCTACAGTGGTAATCCTGCCAGAGAATCTGATGACCAGCCACCAACAAACTTCGCTAAAGCAAAGCTGCTGGGAAAGATCAAGCAAAAGGAACGGGACAGAATTGCTAGTAGAGAGGGAACCTTTCACTCTGATTACGGGGAAAAAGAGTCAGCTGGAGACAAAGATCAGCCTAATGAAGGTGAGAGGAAGAACAAAAGGGATGTTTTAAAGCAACAAGAAGAAGAACTGATGGCTCTTCTGAGACAGAGACAGGAAGAACTGGAAAAACTTAAGCGTGAGAATGAAGAGGCAGAAAGACAAGAGGAAGAAAGGAAACGAAAGGAAGCTCAACGAAGAAAAAGGCTACACGAAGAGAGACAAAGAAGGGAAGAGGAGCTGAGGAGGTTGGAAGAAGAGGAACAAAAAGCACAAGAGGAGGAAGAGAATGATGAACAAAACAGCAGCAGACATGATGAGGATGAGGATGATTGGTACCAGAACAAAGAGAAAGAAGATGAAGAAAACAGTTTGTACCAGAACAAAGAGAAGGAAGATGATGAGGACAGTTGGTTCCAGGACAAAGAGAAAGAAGAGCAAAATTTCAATGCTACTTATACCATGAAGCAAAAAGAAAAGCAAGTTAGGCATGAAAAGCCTAAGAAAGAACATCAGTTACCAATACCTGATAATCAGAAAGAAGCAAAACCCAATGAAGATTTGGCTTTTTACATTGAAGCAGCTGAAGGTTCAGAAGAAGTGCCACTGAACCTGACTCCATGCCCTAATTGTGGCAGGAAATTTGCTGTTGAAAGACTGGCCAAGCATCAAAAGGCTTGTTCCTCCATGAAGAAACGTAAAGTCATGGATCCGACAAAGATGAGGACACAGGGAACAGAGATGGAAAAGTATTCAGATCCAAGAGATAAGAGGCCAGAACCTTCGGTAAGTCTTTCCAAAATTAAAAGCATCTTTTATTGTTCCACTTTGTTTCGGCAATTATCATAATCCCTTTGTTTAGCCTGATACCCAATCTTGTCTTCCCTAGTTGATAAGCAATTGTCCAGGCTCAATTGTATCAAGCTTTGTATGCAAACCTAGTCAGATTTCTGCATAAACTCTAGTGACAAAATTTCAATCCAATATTAATTAACCCAATTTATCCTGTATCTTTAATACATTTATGATATCGGATTACTTTGTTTGGTAAAATATAATGAACTAATGCCATCTAAGTCCAGATAGAATTGAATTGATACTGTGCACTGATCAAATTATAGGTTTGGACAATGGAAATACCATTTTCTCCCCTAGGAACTCGGTGTAAAGGCCAACCATCTCCTTCTATCTCGTCAATTCTTTCCTCATCACTTCTGTGGCCTTTGTCCCTGAATAGATGTGGCTGACCCATCACGAAACTGTTGCTACCGGTGATGGAGGTGCAAGCTGTTGTCATGGATACATTTCTTTAAATTTACATAACAGGTTGTCTATTCCTGTGGTGACAGTTAACACTTAGAGCCTGACGTCAGTACCTTTCATTCACTTAACTAGGTGTGGCAGCCTTATGCTCTCTGTACGTGTTGAGACATCACTGTAATGACAAATGAATAACTCACTTTGCAGGTTGCTACACGACCACCTTTTATCACCTGCCATGCTGCTGACACTCAGCAACAATAGAGTACTTGCCTGGTGATGGATGTAATTGTTTATTGTGGGCCCACTTAAAACTTCAAATACAGAAAATACGTGGGCTGCATATTCATAGCCACCTGTCCAGCTTGTTAAGACAAGCATTATTGAATTGAGTATTCTTCTTAATTGGTTGTTTGATTTTTTTTAAGCAAACTTCTTTACATAGTGCATGTCCTGGCCTTGATCAAGGTGTGTCCCTGTAAGTAAGTTTCATTTTTTTAACAGATGTGCTACAGACACCTGAACTTTTTATTTGGATAGTAAATAGAGGGGGTGTAGAGTATACTTAGAATATACTTACCCTTCCTACCCTGGGGTGCATGGGGTTTGGTCCCCCCTCCCTAGCAGGTTTGATCTCAGCTCAAATTATGCAAGAAGTGACCCTTTCATCATTGACTCTGTTTCAGCAGCCATTGTTGCCAGAACAACTCAAGTGTGTGGTCAACCAGAATTGATGGAACATCTATTTCAATAGGTTGATGGGCTGGGTCTTTTGGCAGAAGATGAAGTGCATCTCGTAACTTTTGCAACCCCTGGCAGTTTTTCACTTTGAGAAACCCACCGTGACTGGCTTGGTTCCAGCAAGATGGGAATCAAAGTTGATATCATGGCCAGCAAATGTGAAGGATACACCATTATTTATACATAGAGTTTTAACAGCAAAATGTCAGATCCATAGATTGGCCCCCTGTAGGCTCCCGGTGGGAACTGCTGGTGTCAGGTAAATGGCACTCCCCATTCCCTCCTGCCATAGCAACCAGGGCATATTTCAGACTTTGTGAAGTGACCTTTCTGATGGAGGAAATGTGAAATTTTATCGCTTTAGTAATGGTCGCTCTCCTGATGGAGGACAGGTTGATGCTATCGTATTTCCTTCCTGCAGTGGTCCCAGAGACGCACAAGGATTAAAGCCACTGTCAATATTTTAAATCAAGAAGCTTTGTCCAGTGTAGAGATGTCACATCCTGCTTGCCATTGCTAATCCTGGCTCCCTTTTCACCCCTCCCTGGGGGGGCTACATGACCCAAACTGATGACTCCAGTCTTTGGAAGCTGACTCTGGGGGCTCATACACTTATACTGCGCACTAATCCCCCTTCAGTGTGGTCCAAAGTTCTTTCAGCAGCCTTCCCTGTCCAATTAACCCCGCTCGATGCTGGTGCAGGCAAAGGTGTGCCTAATTTCCCTATAGCAATCAGACAAAACTTTGTATCCATCCCTATGGCCTTCAGTTGCCAAGTTTATAGACAAAGGGAGACAGATAGCAAACCTGGAGCACATAGCTAGGGATTGATTCTGGATTATACAGGTATTGGGCTTTGGAAAACTGCATTGAAATGGGCCAACCACCGAAATGGGGCATAAAATTAATGCTTTTACCCTATATGCAGTAAGGCAATAAATAGCCAAATGGTGCAGTCCTTTTGTAAGCTAAAATGTATCATTGTTTTGTGAACAAGGTATAAAAACAAAATGTACTTTGGTATTGAGGAGGTCGCTCTCTCTCTCAGGTAAGAAGCCACATCATGTTCTGTCATACAGGATCTAGATTTCATCAAAAATACAAGGAAAATCGTAGATTTTGTACCTCCGGGTATTGTAATGTATGTTGCAGAATGTTGGGTGCATGTTGGGACTGTTCTTTGAATTAACTAGTGAATTCGCGCGAATACCATTTTTTTCGAAAAGTTTCGAAATGTTTGTAATTGGCTAAATGATGTGTGAAATCACTAATCCCCCCTAGCCGACTGGAGCCCAAAAATAGAAAGGACAGGAGGCATCCCGTGGCGAACCTGGCTGCCCGACCCTCAGCGACCAGCGATAATGTAAACAAACACAGTAACGGGTGTCCGAGACACGAAAAGGAAATACAAATAATCTTACGCCCCAAAACACATATACAATAAAACAAAAAAAAACTGCACCATCTACAGCCCATTAACAGAAGATACGCCTGATACACCGAGTCCCGAGAAGGTCTGAGACAGTATACCACGGTATTTGTAAGCCGAAAACATCCGAAATTGCGCAAGAGGGCGTTGACCCCTGACCCATTGGCCCACCCGGAAGTTCGCTGGCTGCGACCCGCGCGATCCCACCAGGCACGAGACGTTGATTGACGGCACATGTGGTTCACATCTGAACAGTTTCAAAGAATGCTGACACCCCTCTGTGTGAAAGGTCAGATCAGTGGTCGCGACCTCAATGGTGATTATACATGCAAAGGTCAAAAGCTGAGGCCCGACCAACACTGAAAGGGGTGTCCATCGGCGGTCTAAACGCATCATTTTCACGCACTAAAACACACATACTAAAAAACCAAAACAACGTGCACCATCTACAGCCCAACAGCAAAACGTATACCAAGTCCCAGACATATCCGTCCACCCAAACGCGAGAAACGGGTGCGAACGCAATTTTCGTCTTCCCTCACAAAACCTCCGCGCTCGGGATATACATCCCTACCCGGAGGTAATAACGGACATGGAAACAAAAGATAGCAACATGCAGAAACTCGATGACAAGCAGGCTTCAGCGTCTATGGCTTCATTTGTCTTTCTTATCCACTGTAACACTATCGCACAATGTACATGCATTTTTATACAGCTCTAGAGGGAGAGCAGGGAAGTTATAGATCTGAGCAAACATTCTATGATCCTCCTGCCAACAGCTACTGACAAGTAAGCAGTCTGACACTTTGAAAAGATCAAAGGTAGTTCCAATCGTTTCTAGAGCCCTCAGTTCATTATCGTGTCAGGGTTACGTGCCAGTCGGAGAGCAGGTGTGGCCTCGGACATAAGGTTGTTGAAAGTACTAACCCACAGTTATTTAACCAGTAAGCTTGGCTATAACCAGTGTAAATTTCTTTCTACCTCAGGCACACATTTGAAGGGACTCATCTACAGCACAGGAATGATGATGATATTCCTACCTCTGCTTGACCTTTGCTACCTTTGCTGTATTGATATCACTGTATTGTCAGTCTTGCTGCAAATTTTGTACTGTACATTTTATTCTGAATCAGGACTTAAGATTGTGTCATTTCTGAATATCAGACAGTAATACGTATTTGTCTTACAGAGCAAGAAGGCTGACTGGCGCAAGAAGCGGGAAGATTTCATCCAGGCGATTCGCTACGCTAAGAAGGTGGCAGAAGTGGAGAAGAACGGTGGGAATGTGGCAGACCTCCCCCCTCCCCCACGCAGCGAGAACCCAGACTACAAGCAGTGCCCTTACTGCCAGCGGAAGTTCAACGAAACTGCTGCGGAGCGCCACATTCCAAAGTGTAAAGAGATTAAATCTCGTCCACCCCCCATGAAGCGTAGATAACAACTTCAGCAGTAACCTCACAGTATAAGAGATTGACATTAGCACATACTGTGAACTATATCCAACTTGTAACTACTGTATCAGTGTGGTCTGTTGTCATTCCATTATATACCTGTAGTTGTAAAGGTTTGAAAGAGCCATATCTATGGACAGTATTTTACTATGAATCTATATTTTGGTCAGCTATACTATGGCTTGCACATATGTACAGCTGCCAACACTTGTATGTGATATATGATATATGATTGAAGAACAATTAAGTACTTCAGGATCACTTGTGATAATCTGAAGTTGTCAGACTAGGAGTGGTGAACACACCCCATCCTGGAGTGGAAAAGTATAACTCAGGGAGGTGGGTGATGAAAGGTAAAAGAGCAGATCTATACATATAGATGTGTTAACTCATTGTAGTCTGGCAACCTGGTCACCAGTGATTTAATGATAAATTATACCTGTATCACAAGTTACAATTATACATCCACCATATAAATGTTGTGTAAGCACTGTTGCATCAGTCCCTCATCACAGACTGTTTGTTGCATTGGATATACCATCATACTGTGTTTTGTGCAGTTCTCGTTAATCCTACATATTGAAATGAGAATGGAAATACTGTACTGAAAAATTGTGTTTGTGTTGTAAAATGTGTAAATAATAGTATCCAAGAGAGCTGGTGTTTATGTGATATGATAGATGTGTTAATGTTGTGCCTGTTGGTTAGACCTGCACCTATCATGTCAGGTGCCTAGATTTTTAGAGTTTGCACTCTTGTGAAGAGTATACTTTCTACTGCAAGAAAAAAAATAACTACAAACCCCAGAAAAAGTATGTCCTTCTTTCTGATAACTTGATCATAATAAGGTCAGAGAAAGGACAATTGTAAATTATAATTTGCTTGAAATTTTGCATTGTGATTTTAAGATAAGCTTTCCAGGATAGCCTTGTAAGTGTCAACCAAAAAGCCTTCCATTTTAGTCAATATTAAATCAGGCAGCACAAAGTAGCTATTACCATGTTTCAGGTCTCCACAAAGCTAGGGGTTCTCTGCTGGAAGCACACTTGAAAGGGACCTTGATGACAGAGATTGCTTAAGACTCCAGATCAGGAGCTGCATATATACAGGCTAATAGCCAACCTTTTAAGCAAAATATTCTTGAAAGATGTTGAAGTAAATGCAACAGCTCAATGGATGGTGGTGTTTGCTGCCTTATTTTGAGTGGAACCCTGCTGCTTTATGTTTACGTTTTAAGTCTTTTAAGTGTCCTTGAATTTCTTGCTTTGTTAGTATCCAAGGTGATTGTAATATAACACCATCAGGTAAGAACACCTTCAAGTCAGAACACACAGTTGTATGTAATTGCGTGGTTGGTCCAGTGCACAGAGACAAACTGATGTAAGATGTAGTTTCAGTTTGCTGACATTAAAGTACAAAAGCAGGCAGGTATGATTCCATTCTCTAGTAACTTTGCTAATAAAGCTGCACACCAGAGCGGGTGTAACGTGTGGATCAGTATTACCAAACACAGTAGCAGTTAACAGAATGAGATGTCATTCACACAGCTGACTTAAAGATTCATCCAAGACAGAATGAATGATGATGATGAAGCAAGGACTTGTCAGCATTTGCCAAGTCTTGTCCGAGGAATAATATCCCAGTGCTGCTAATATGTCATTGGACTGCCAGTTAATATCTTCTACATCAAACAAATTTGGAGCAAAAAGCTAAAATCCACTGAGTAATAATCACGGTATGCTATTAACTCCAGTATTATTAAAGGCATCTGAAAAATTGACTGATATTACTCATCTGCCTGTAATATATGGTTAGTTCAAAACTGCATGCCTAATGTGAGCATTTCTCTTCCAAACCCTTGTAATTCTAAGCCTTTAATGCTTTCAAAAAATCAGTCATCAAATGTGTTCAGACAACATTTCAAGGCTTGGTGTAAACTGTATGATTTGGCTCAAGTCTCTGCCACATTGTGGATAAGACTTACTGTGGATCAAGTGGCTCAACCCGGCTATAGATGTACAGTACGCCTGATACTGATACACCTTAGTGTCGCAATGGTCAAGTGCAGCTGATCTGCCAACTGACATCCAAGGTCTGTTCAAGTAAGGTGTATTGGTAGGCAGCAACAAAATAGGCATTTTCTACCCCAATGAAGATGGTGAAATTTTTAGGTCAAAGGCAAATTAGTGTTACCGTATCTAGTAATAGAGCCAGTTAGCAGAGCTTACCAATTATCACCTGAAGGCTCCTGGAGTCCTCTCTACATACATAAATAACATATATATTTGTATCCAGGTCACAATGCATCACAGGATATTCCGTCATATACATTAATTTTGTGTTGTATTGAGGACATTGGTATAGTTTTGCTTCATAGATTATTGGCATACAAAACATGATGTTATATCATTGCCTCCATTAAGGCAACACCTCAGAAAACACTTCAAAAACGTTATATGGTAACCAAGAATCGTTGGTGATGTATATGTATATTTTGCAGTTGGTTAGCTGATGAACTGGATGGATCTCTATGATTTGTAACCAGTGCAAGTTACCTGTAGGACAGTCAGGTGACAATTTCCCCTCAAATTGCATAATATGAAAAGCAGTCTAAATTCTCTGGAGCTTTCAGAGGGAACTGTGCAAGAGGGTTGCACTCTCCTAGTGCAGTCTACAGGTAGTTCAATCAATGTATTTAGTGTTACTGAAATATGTATGTACAAAACATGATTTATGTAAATGCTCTATTAAGTATTATGCTAAAGCAGAGATGGACAAAAGCTAATCATAAGTGTCTATCTGAAGTAAGCCGCTCATGTGGTGGTCTGTTGTTGGTGATAAGGTAACTTACAGGAATGTATATTGACAAGCACCAGTCCCAGTGTGTGGCTCAGGGGCATGGTGTGGCAGACACTGGTGATGGGACCAGGCTAACAATACTTATTACGGGTGATGGATGGCTTGTCCTCCACACCTGATGTCTATATGGATAGCCCGTTGTGCCTTCAAGCCATTCCAACTCATTTAACTTCCTTTTTCAGCTCCCAAGGAAAATCAGGTGATGACAAAGTAAACCAATCAAGCGTGGATGATAGCATTGCAATTTCTTGGCAGTGTAAATGGCTTGTTTGACTCTTAGATTGCTTTGGAAATTACTGAGGTATGGTAGTTTCAGTGCCACTCATTTCAAGGATAGAGGTCACAATATGGAGAAGAACACTAACGTTACCCCCTGTAGTCTTATACACTTGTGATAGTCACCAAAATTTGGCATGTCTTTCATCATAAATTTTTGAGTCTTGAGCCCATATTAGTAGTGGCACCACGCTGTTCATACACAATTCCGTCTCAATGATGAGATTGGCTTTATGTCCTCTGGGAACTCAAAACTGTGGGGAGTAACTCACTGTGGAAGGATGTCAAGGACAACTAATATTACCCCAGGGTGGGATGTATCAAAGGTTGGGATTAACAGGTTTTGTGTATGCATGATGCTTGGAAGTAGACAGAACTATCAAAACAAGATGTACATCAACATAAATAGAACAATATGAATCAAGCTACAACCTGTTGATGCAGGATGGATAAATATCACATAAAAATCCTCTAACATATAAGTTTTATCCATAACGTTACCAGAGAATATGTGAGATGTGTATAGCACACTGACAAAAATATCAATCTTTTCTATGTCAATCTTCCATGGCAGGTATTCCAAACCCCACAAAACTTTGTTGCATTCTTGAATTTTATACAGAGCAGACTATCAATACACTAGCTACGCATAAATTTGTTTGCATTAACAGCCAGCTAACTCCTCTGGCATATTTAATAGTCAATCTAGCCTATTCTAGTACTTTCTAGCAACCCATTGGAGTCTGGTAGTCAGGTAGAGCTAGAGACTACATAAGTCACCAGCAGATATTGTAATGTGCTTCAGAGTCCTCATAATTGAGTCTCTTCCTGCATTGCATTTAGCTTGGAGCCAAGTAAAACTGACTGGACAATATACCAGCAATCTAAGTCTTAAATTGATGTGCAGATTGTGAATTATGAGATAATGTCAGATTTTGATGGAAAGTCGCCCTTCACCCGGGTACCCATTGTCGTACTATGGCCACAGACTCAAAGTCTCCACCAAAGTCTGCTTGATCATTTGATGGTTTCATTTGGAGCTGATTGCTACAATACATGCACAAGTATTTGTGGCACCAGAGGATGACTTACAATTATGTCATGATGAATTTTTCATCACAGACAGTTATGTCACCATGATGAATTTTTCATCACCTTCTTATACCCGGAGTTCCCTTGTGCTCTTTCAAACTTTGAGGTACAAAGTAATGCTGTGGCCAAATCAAAGATAAGAAAATAGAATTATGGGGGGAAAGAGTCATTATCTACATTTTTACTAAGTGATACAGACAGAGGATCTACTGCACATCAGCCAAGTTAATGTTTCTCTGCATGTTTAATATCAGGGGATGTGTAGGTCTGTGCACAGTGGCAGGTGTGGGGAGGGCTGGGTTGAACAAGACAATGAGTAGATCCAGGTGGGATGTCTGCTAATGTTGACCCCCTGTGGTGCAGGGTCATCAGGAGTGCACTTGCCAGTGAGAATCCAACTGTGTGAGTTATCAGGATATAAAGGGATGGAAATGGTTGTTTCAAGAATCTTGACACTGATACACAGGTGAAATATGCAAAAGTAATATCTTCTAGTACCTAAGGACAACCAATGATGGCAATTAATCCTTGTTATGAGAGAGCACAAATCATGGACAAAAAATGACCACTACTCTCCTTTTTACTCTTTTTGTTTATTGATCACAGCCAACTGACGCTTCAAAAATAATGATGTGGGAAGGTCAATATCAGTCCAACGCACTACCAGCTAAGGTATAAAATGTTATCAGAAATATAGATATATATACTTTAAATCAAACCTCCCCTCCTGATGCCACACGTCTTCCACACGTACTGCTGCTGTCTGTCTATCTGTCTGTCTTTCAGAGGACTCTTACAAACCTATGTACAAAATAGCTCATCGGGTCATGCTTCCACTAGCTCAAGAAGACCTGTAAACACTGCCTACAAGTCTATCACATACACAGCACTGTGCACCCTAAATGTAATATTCCCTCAAATCAGTCAGGTAGCACAATGGAAAATACATAATTACAAATCACATGTGCCAACCAACAGTGTAATGTTCAACAACTTGTTATGTCTTCCTTAACACTATCATCTGTACAAAACACTGTAAATCAAAGTAGAAGACATCTAGTTCATTACGTGGTGCAACATATCAGAATCTAAAGGCTCATGCAGTAAATACAAAACCAATTGAATATATCCTACAATTGAATATATCCTATGTGTCCCATCATTCTTCCACAAACACACCTTCACACACAAACACACCTTCACACACACATCCTGTTTGGTTATTTCAACAACATATACCTGTTAGTGACAAGGTTTTCACTGTCCATGCCTAAATACATCTTGGCTCACTATCAGTTCATTAGTTTTGAATGAAATTATGACAAAAGCCACAATCATTTTACAGAGCACATTGTTTTTGCCTGGTCTGTCAAATAGTATTCATGAGCTGGTAATTAAAGTTGGGCTGTTATGCGCAATGTATATAAATGGTGACTGAATACAATACTGTATATTCAAACCTATAATACATGGTATGCATGAGGCAATGCATAAAGCTACATGTATATGCTATTCTTCACATCAAGCTCTGTAACATTTGATACTAAATGTGAACAATGGAACATCTTTTAAGTTAACAACTGTGCAGTTCAAGGAATGTGCATCTAAAAAATGACACAAACATAAGGAAAGCCATTCATATCATGCGGGGAGAGGCCATGATAGGAAACCACTCTCAATTCTGGAGAATTGATCATCAAGCAACTTTGACAGAAACACAACAGAACATCTTTCACATGTGGATGTTGTAAAATTAACTTCTTAAAACTCCATAAACTTTCCCACTCTGATGAGAATAGCACTGGAGTCATTATTAGGGGCCATGGTAAGAAGGACAGACAGGAACTAGAATTCAATGGCTCCCTCCCCACCTGAACTGTGAAGGCTCCTTATGATCTTACTAAAAAAACTGAATCTGGTAGGTTTGTCTGTATTGGCATGGTGTGGACAATCATGTGACCACAGGTAAAACCTCCTTCGTTCAGACAGCAGCAATCAAAGTCTTTTCTCCTCTAAGTACATCAGGACAGGCCATGAGGAGTTTTATGAGGTATTTTTTTCTGATTTGTTGTTCCCAAGGACCCCATTCCTCCCTGTGCAATAAAGTGGACTGTTCCACAATAAGTAAATGTCAATGGTGCTGAGAGGGCATCACTCAGAAGTGGGGGCTGCAGGTGTCCTGCTACTGTCTCCTGAACAGGAACAGGTCAGAGATATACAAAGGTTGCCTACAAGCCTTCTCCTTGTGCTGTCCATAAAAATATACAAGTCTTTCACCATGCTCTCAGCTTTGACATATCCTGTACAGTTTTTTCTTCTCTCTATCCTTTGTAGAAACTGTAGAAAGTACAATCAACACTACAGTATAATATTGACATCTACTACTCATCAAGGCATACATGTGTCAAAGTCACACCATCTACAATAACATCTGACCTGTATGTGTTACACATACATATAATACTTCCTATTTCTTCCTAAGTACTAATAACAAAGTTGAAACTTGAATCAAGCAATAGTACAGTCAAACCAACACACATAGAAAACATGCTCAGCATCAGAATTATGTTACATCAGAGAAGACAACACACAACTTTCTACAATAGATGAGTCACAAGGATCAGAAAACATTGGGAATGTAAACATGTCACAAACTGGGATTTTTGTCTTTCACGTAAAAACACATGGTTTCACTTGACAAACACACTTCCTTCACAGGTGAGGTACATGAGGAATAGCGAAAGTTGATTTACATTTTAGAAAAACATGGTAGAAATCTTACATCGAGGTACATGTACTAGTCTTTGTGTAGCCTACATAGGTATCCTACAGACAAAGAGGAAATATCTCCCATACAATTGTATCAAGTCGATCATCAAAAATTAAATACGTCAAGCATGCTGTTCTCCTATGTGGTAGTTACATCTGTATCGACAGAAAAATTCAGAAGCAATGCACAACAAATTTCCTGGTACTACTGCCAACATACAAGTAGTCATACATCTTATACAGCCATGTACATTTCACTCAGCATTGTTGCAATGTTGGATCAGAGTTTTGGTCAACAAAAGAAAAAACGTCTTGTTGTTCTTGTAGTAGATTTCAAGCTATGACTGCCAAGATGGATTTCTTGTGCTAATGTCTATCAACAGTATGTTTGGCTGAAAGTAATGAAAGCAATAGTGTGCCAGTGGCAATTAGCGGCAACCATGCTACCAAAAAGAATTAGGAAAAAACATTGGTCAGAATGTAATCAGGATATAATGTTGTCACTGAAAGGCTTGCTCATCCAGACAGCCATGAAACACAAGGCTGTCCCCAAAGCACACCCCAGATAGGGTCACCTGAGATCAAACACATCTTCACGGACCAGGAATATTGCTGCCATCAGCCCTAAACATCTTACAGCACCAGACTTGTGATGGCAAATCTGGGTTGGTTGTTAGCGTTGACAGCATACCCAATACCATGACTGCTCCTGGAACCATGATGCATCAGGCCACCTTGTGAGGTCCATCTAGAATGCACAGGTGGGAGTTGGCTCCTCCACTGGTGTCAGCGGGTTCAGGGTTGTCAGAGGCCGAAAGGAGAAGACGGAAGGATCACACAGGATTCTTGGTGGTGTTCTGTTGGAGATGGTCTATTGAGACAAAGCAGAAGAGTTGGTTAGATTTCCATGTAGAAATAAAATGTTGAGTTCTACATTGTTCAAATGTCGTACAAAGTATTTTGTGAAAGTTCCATACAAGTGGCTTAAACATGACACAAAGACTGACTGGATGATGAAGTAATCCTACATAACATTTTTATAATAAGTGACTACTTAGAATCAACATTAAAATATGATTCTATGGTCACTGCAAAATAAGTGAGACTTGGGTGCTTCCCAGGTGGGTGAAGTGGTCAATGATGTTTTTGTTTTTTCATCGGAATGTACACATTGAACATGATGCACGCAGCCATGCTGTTACCAGTACAACAATGTACAATGGGTGTTTACTTTGATTTTAACTGTTTACAACAGCAGTTAGCATGAAGAGGTTTATACCTTTACATCTGGGAAACCTTTATTAAGCACATGCTGACAAACTTTTCATAAAACCCAATTAAGACAATTTCTGTCATAATGAGCTTAGGCCACACCAATTTAATTTCTTGGTTAACGGATTTTTCTAGAAAAATAATGGAGCGGGCGGGCGAAAAAAAAAAAAATAGAAACAGGCAAAATGGTCCGATAGGAGCCATGAAGTCAACATACCAGGCTGGTTCAAAATTTAAACAATGAATTTTGAACTTTTAATGACACCATTGCATTGGAAGATGGAATAACTGTAACAACTAGGATGAAAAGGACTGTTTTCAACTGTTCAGGGCAAAATATGAGCATTTTGCAGTTAATTCTGAATTTTTATTTTTATTTGCAAATCAGAAAAAATGAAGCGGGCGAATCCGTTAACCAAGAATTAAATTGGTGTGGCCTTATCCATAAACTTACTCTAGATGTAGACTACCTATAAGTGCTGTTAATGGTAAATGCTTTAATCTTTTAGTACCCCAATATGAAGGCCAATTAGGAATTAGAATTACATGACTCAATAATGGCTGTGTTGCTCTGTATTTTGGGACATCCTTGGTACAAATTGAACAATGAGACACTTAGTTAACATCCCTATATTTATTTTCAAATATACATTACATAAATTTCATATCTTTTTTTGTGCTTCGAAGATACAGTAAGCCAAAATCTTGGCAAATATTGACTGAGCAAAAATAATTAACATGGGATTAACCCTTATCATAATACATTCATACATTTTAGTCTCTACTGTGTACAGTGACTTTGT